AAGGTTCGCGTCCGAGTGCGACCTGAGCGTCATGCGTTTGAACGCATCTAAAACGAAAGGCCTAGTGGTTTCTCGTTCTCTTGCCCGTTGCTCTCTTCAGATTAACGGAGAGGCAGTGGAGCAGGTGGAAAAGTTCAAGTACGTTGGAACTATATTTACTAGTGATGGAAAGTTGGAGTAAGAGATCGACGGGCGAATTGGTGTAGCCAGCGGCTTCCTGCATGAACTAGCCCGACCCATTGTGACTAAAGCAGAACTTAGTCTGAAAACTAAGCTCTCAGTATTCAAGTCGATCTTTATCCCCATACTTACCTACGGTCATGAATCGTAAAGCATCACTGAAAAACTTCGAACCCGGGTACTAGCTTCTGAAATGGGCTTTCGTAGACGATTCGCTGGCCTTACGCGTCTCGACATGGTCCGGAACAGTGACATCTGGAAGAACCTTGCATTACGGCCTTTGCTTCTCCAGATTGAGCAGTCACAACTGCGATGGCTTGGGCATGTGTTGCGAATGCCTTCAGGAAGGAAGGCTAAGCAACTGTTCCTTGCAATCCGACCCTCAAAAGGTCCGGTGGACGGCCAAGATTAACGTGGTGTAAACATATGGAAGTAGTCTGTTCGAAACTGCATTTGTCTTTTGCCGAAGGTCAGACTCTGGCACAGAATCGGGAAGGTTGGAAGCACTGTCTGACACGTCTGCCTCCGCGACCCGAAAGGAGAAGCGGCGATGGAAGATGAAGAAAAATTCTTCCAAATGTGACCAGCTGCCGTTGGCCATAGCAAAATGTATTTACAGGTTTAACTTGAGATGTGAGCATCAAATAAAGCAACCCAGGTCACCCCGCTATTGGTTGCAGTCAGTGTTAATGCAGGATGAAACAAATGACTTCAGAACTTGCGTAATCGCAATTGACTTTGCAGTTCCTGTCGTAAAAATGACCTCAAGCTATATGCTACCCTCCTTCGTGACTGCACGGCACAGAAGCAATTGTTCTTCGTTCTAATTGTTATATATTATCGCCAGTGCTCTCTTATTAGATTAGATTCAGAAAGGGGTTGTAGTGTGACTTTGCACGGAGGATGTCCGGTTTGAGTCCCCTGCGCAGCTTTAAATTTTCTCACAATCGCTAATTTTTTTGAGCATCTAATTCACTCCACTGTACTTTTGTGCAGCCACCCAAGAAACGGGTAAAATTATTCACTTTCGAGTAAGTGAGGAGCTTGGCGCTTTGGTGTGGTCGGGCCTGACCGCAGTAGGGTGTATGACCATGCTGTCTAGTGCGTGTGCTTTACGGATGCAGTTTGCATTCACTCATTTGACAATTAATAGTGAGCACAATTTGCAACCCGTAAAAATTTGATCTGACAAAGAATAGTTTTCTGACATGAATATTAACTGACAGTTGTGGGTGAAAATCATTGGTTTCTTGGAAATTGCGATTTCTCGGCAGTTATAGCGGAGAACTGTTCCATTTTACAACTAATTTTGTTTCCGTTTATCTTTGAGCCTTTTGAAAAATGAAAACAGTAAAAATAGTCCAAGTTTATAGCACAATCCAGCAAATTGAAGATAAAGAGATCGAGCGGTTCCACGAAGAACAGGAAGGCGCGATGGAGAAGATGACAAAATGCGCGATTGTTCAAGGCAACTTCAGCGCAGTGGAAAAAACTAACACTGCGTTGAAACTGAGGTATTTATCGGCAAATATGGAAAAGGCGAAAGAAATGAACATGGTGATCCTTTCTCAACTTTTCCTGAAACCACCCATCTCCACGACATTAACGTTGTTTTCCAAAAAGTAATACTGAACGTGGAAAGGCTCAGATAGTAGGTCTTTGAATACAATCGACTATGCACTGATTAA